CTTAGCTGTATGCTAATGCCGACAAGTGCATCTTTGGCGCGGAAGAAATTCCGTTTTGGGGTGCTTCATTAAGAAGCATGTCCTTCGAGCAGATCTCGCCAAGATCACGGTCATTGTGGACTGGCCGGTATCGAAGAACCAAAAGGACTTGCGCAAGTTTAGCGAAAATTATGCGGAAATGGCACGGCGATTGTCAAATCTCCTTAAAAAGTATACAGAATGGCGTTAGGACAATGAGCAAGGGAGGCTTTTGACAGGGTCAAAGACAGCTTCCTTAGCACCAATACTGGTGTTGCCAGACCCCGATCGTCCTTTTAGTATCATCTGTGACGCTTCGGACTTTGCCATCGGCTGTGCACTGCTGCAAACAGACGTAGAGGGGCGAGATCGGGTGATCGCGTCCGAATCTCGCCAGCTTGTAGCTGTGGAGAGGAACAACCCAGTCCACGACAAGGAAATTCTAACGATGAAGTATACACTTGTTAAGTTCAGGGCGCACCTGCTTGGCTCAAAGCGGTTTGTGATCTACACAGATTATGCGTCATTATGCACTGCGACTCAGTCGCCTCACCTCTCCCAGACGATGGCCACGTGGCTCTCATTGTTTGCAGAAGATAAATTCGAAGTGAAGTACAAGCCAGGAATTCAGAATGCTTTAGCCGATGCGCTGTCACGCAGACCGGACTCTGAGCTTGCTCATTTCACGACGGTGACGTCGTCAGCGGCGGATTTGGTTTGCGCCACATACATCTTTTTGAAGAACAATAATCCTGTTCGCCGCTTCTTTATTCGCACGCGGCACTACAAAACAATAACGACGTGTCGTTTGCGAAAGCGCAATCGAGGCGACTTTGTTTGTGGTGTGAACACATGGCCTAATAGCATAGGCATGTAAGAGCTACATCCGGCACAGCAAGATTTCGAGACAATTTACAACAGAAATCATCTAGGCAGAAGTCAGCAGGATGAAAATGACAATAGACACTGCGACGCTTGCCCTTACAATTGTGTAAGTGAGGCTTCTTGAGCTATGATCAGTTTAGTATTGCTAAGATAGATATCGTCATGAAATCCAACGTTGGAAAGCTTCGCGACATTTTCCGCCACCAGAAAGGCCAGAAGGTACGTGAAATTTTTACAGGAGACATCAGTTATTATGAATCATCTTTTCGGTGAACAGCTAGGTCGTGGATTGTCGGTGATGACGGATGGTTTTTTTCAAACTTCAGAGTGTCACTTCGACCGTATACATTTGAAAACACCTTGGCGTTCTGGGGCGGTCATGTCTACAAAGGACATCAGTAGTGTGAGCCCCAATAGGGTCCAAATTCAGGTTATTGGACGTAACTATTGCTATAGTGTAAATTTTGAGAATTGTAGTTAGTATCTACAATTCTCAAAATTTACACTTGTATCAAGTCAATAGGAATCGTTTATACAAAAACTTTAATGCACTATCGTATAGTTGTGGCCATTCCTAAGTACCACATTGTACCAGTTTTTATTCATAACCTGATGGACATACGTTAAGGAAAGTAAGTGGGCTGCTAGCTGTGCATAGAAAATATGATGGTATTTTAACTAATGGCAAAAACGTCAAAGATTAGTAAAGTATAAACAACAAATGCACGACAACCGCTGCTGCAGCGTGGCCGCTTTCTGACAATTGATTCCTTCGCAGATTTAACGTTAAGTATTAAAGCTCGTATTATTTTTACTTTGCAAATTGTTCTTATTTCTTGGAATAGAACGTGGTTTCGCTCACATTTATGATGCTGGCAATGTGATCAGTTTATCGAAACCATAAATACTTAGGTAAGAGCGCTTAGCTTGTTTGTGAACAATCCACATAAGCTAAGCGTCACGACAACAAATTTAACTTGCTTCATGACTATGACCAGACAAGCCAGCTTTATAATATATATTTTGACTTAGTAAAATACAAAGCTTAACGGCGAGTGCTACACCTCAACTTCAGCTTGTTCTGGCAGCATACCGTGAGCCTGCTGTCACAGCCACCGGCAATGTTGCAACCGAAAGACAAGGCCAATTCCTACTACATATTACACAAAGCGCTGCCTTCACGATTCAGCTGCTTATCCCAGTAAAGCGATGTCAGTAGCGTCAACAATGCCAGGACTTTTTTAGCTAAGTAAATCTTCAAAGGCTTTGATATTCTCAAGCTGACACCATTTTACCAAATATTGATTATGAGTGCGTCGAGCAGCTAGACATTCCACATAGAATGAGCTCTTCCCTTGCTCAGTTGAGTTTACACATTCTGTGCAGACATTCGCCTGACACGCTTTTCTCAATTTTTGTTTATAACGAAGCGCGTTGATTGGGCCTGTAACGGGGATACACGTACCCTGGTATGAAGAGGTGGGTCACACAAGACGGTGTGACCACACCATGGTGTGGCTACACCTTAACAAGAAGGCAGTCCAGCAATACATGGCCGGACTGCCAGGAATTATGCACTAAAAAAAAGCTTTTACTACTTAGTTAGAAAATTCTATCGGTTTGAATATAGGCGGCTTTGCCGCAAATAAGACCATGCAGTTTAAATTTGAGCGGAAGAGTTTATTTGCCTTGGTTTAGATTTGTATTTACTCTTAAAATACGCGGATCACGATCCGGTACACTCGCACTGGCTCAAAGTATAGCACGAAGGTTGGTGACCAAAACTAAGCTTCCTCTAAGCGAAAGAGCGACGACAGCCCCGCTGCAGAGTCTCATTGTTCATTGACGACGCATGGTTTAGATGAGGATATAAGAAAGTCAATTAGCCTGAGGCATTTCAAACAGTTTTAATTTGGTTGCTACCTGAAACAGAAGGTGGCACAACTACAGTGCTAAGATTCCACTTCATTCGAAACTCTTTAATTCTATCATCCGTCGAGCGCTCTTTTGGAGGAAGTACAATCACAATCATTTACGTGAGGCACTACGAATGGTTCTAGGATAAGCTTGCCGCCCGGAGTTGAAGGTAGTCAGCTAAAGTCTGAAGTGACGCTACTTTGTTTTGCATTACACCATTGTGTGATCACACCATATTGTGTAACCCACACCCATCGTACCAGGGCACCGAATTCCCGTTAAACTATCCCCATCAAGAATGTGAACACCTACAGTTCATATTCAGTTGTCGCCTCGAACAAAGCTCGCGGTCTAATACACCACAACATCACAAGGACCTTCTTCACGAATTTTCTACTCAATGAGCCCTACGCCGAAAAAACGGAAGATACCCAGCCTGGCTAGCTCCCGAGACGCCCGCGGGTAGAGCCCTTCCTCGTTTCCTGCACGCGGTGCAACTTCGGACAGCACTTCCCACGGCTTTAAGGGAAGCGCAGCCCAAGCTTTCGGTAACCGAGGACCGCGCAGCGCATTGCCAGCGACAGGGTCACACGACCAAGAATACAGACGCGACGTCTACTCCCGACTGCGCACCGCGCCCGCAACAGGCGATGGATTACCTCGTCGAGTATCTGGAGGATGTCGACTTCGATTCAAAAGTTCCTTTCCCAGGTTGGGAAGAAGAAGAGAGCGAGGTGCACCAGCGGCGCGACGTGATCCCTCCTCAAACTTTGCGGATAACGCGTTTTTTTACCTCTCGGCCTCCGGGGAGGTAGTGCCTTTACTAATGACCTCGACGAGGACAGAAGCACTAGCTGGGTGCTGTTCGCAGGGCGGCTTCCGTGCACGCGCATCCACGGTCAGTCCGTGCCCCTCGGTAGAATACGGCTTCCGCTGAGCCGAAGCCGCTTCTGAAGCTAAGAACGAGATCAACCGTTCGTCGGACGTCTATGTGATTGGGCTCCCGGTCACTACACAAGCTGAGTTTGACGAACGTAAAGTTCTCCGAGCTCGCTACTTAGTTCCTAAAAATACCGGTGGATAGGTACCACACTTGACTTTGTGCTCAAAGAGAAGGTGCTCCTGTATCCGCGATGCGGACGATTCCTGTGGTGATTTCCCCTAACAAAACGCCGCAGATGACGAAGATCTCTTTGAGCTCGACAGCGACAAATATGAATTTTGACAGAGGTGTAGTTCAGAACAGGTTGGTCGAGCGCACACTGCAAAGTATTAAAACACTGGTCGAATTGTGTTATCAACTGTTCAGGGGAGTCTCAATTGTCGGTTGAAACAGCTAACTGTTGTATTCACGAATATGTTTTGACGTTATATATGCCCGCGGCCGTATCAAGCACTCGAATTCGGATGTACATTCGAAATTGAGCACCTGTGGTTTGTGCTGAGTGTGTTCGCATAAATGACGCTGCTCTCGACTATGCATTAATATACCTTAGACGTTGACAATTTTCTTGTCTTGGAATGCTTCAGTAGAAAACATAGTCTGCAGGCATACGGCGCAAAGATCAAGGTCATTGTGATTGACCAGAGCCACTATCTCAGACGGATTGCTTAGCCTGACCAGTTATTCGCACAAGTATAGTGCAAATTGAGCCGATATGGCACGGCCCCTCACCAATCTTCTCAAATGGGATGTCAAGCTTTCTCGGGTGAGGCAGGAAAGACAGCCATCGCGGCGATCATGTGCGCCTCTATAGCCCTTCGGTTTTTGGGTCGGCCATCAGACGTCGGTTTTGACGCTTTTGTCTCTTTTTCATGAGTTGCGCTATCTTCTAACTGATGTCAATGACTTCAAACAGGTCTTAGCGCGTATACATCACCAGCAAAGAGCAGCTACTCAGCTCACGTCTTACCGTTACTTGCAAGAAAGTAAATATTACCAGATTCAGAGAACACCTGCTTTACTCCAAGCCATTTACCACTTCACCTCTTGTGGATTATGGCAAGATATTAACCCTTCTGAGTTGGTTCCCATTTAAGGGGAAGTTAAGCTCGGATGCTTTACTGCGAGGATGGGTGCGCCTTCGCATCGCCCATATAACTATTTCGTACACGTCACGATGGCGACGTCTCGCAACGACGATGCAAGAAATTCGACGTATGATCCAGACCTAATTTTGCTAGGGTGAAAGATTTGGAAGGTTATAAGGTTTGATCTCGATGATCGCTTTAGACGCATGCACCTTTAATCCTTGTCCCAAGGCTTGCCTTATTACTGCACACATCCGTCAATACACAGTACGGAATTTATTTTATGATGTGGACTTTATTTGCAGAATTCTATACTAAGTACATGATATCGCTATAGAAGGATCATATCAGTAAACAAGGATGTACGGTACCGTAAAGTGCCCAAGTGGGCCTTGTGAAACTGCATGCGGGTAATACCTCGCCACGTGCATCGTCGCCTATGACCAGACTGCCAGTCCCGGCAGAGCGTCGGTTGTCATTTAGTGAGGATTTAATTGTGGTCTTCCGAATGACGCGTCTGATAATACATGCTTTATGAATTTGAAACAAGATTTCACTGTAAAGCGCAATTCGTTATAGATCGTGTCGGCGAAAAACTTTGTCGAGAAATAATTATCTGGCAATTTTTTACCGGTCACATTATCCCTGACATCAACGAGAGAAGTCATATTGCCCAGACGGTCTACAAGGACCACAATGCCCATGCTTCCGAACGCGTGTTTTGGAAGACCGAACATGAAGTTCAAACGTATGCATCAGAACGCTTTTGGAACCGACAGGCTGATCAATGTTACCGCCGCATACGGCGAGAGTGTAAATCGTTGACACGCGCACACACTCATATGTGTTGGACCAGCATTTCATAGTGCTCATCGAGCAGCATGTCATTTATCGTTCGAAGTGGCCTCTCGAAGGGATATCATGTGCCTCGTACAGTCTCGCTCGATGACATTCTTATCCAGAGACACCACTACACGCTAAGTGTCATAACTGTCAATGCTGTAATATAGCGATCCTTGTAATACAGCCATCCTGAGAATAAGCCAAAGCGGTACAGATGTGCAATCGCGCGCACAAATTAAGCGATATCCAAGCTCTCAGACACCTCGTTTTCCAAATTTAGAGTAGCTCAATGCATGTTGCGTTTGACTCATACGCCGTACGTAACGCCTCACTAATGGACTACTTCCCCATCGTGCAATGCGACATTCATAATCCGACGTCAGAAAGGACAGCCCCATAGCTGTTCACCCGCGGGCAGATGATCAGATGAATGCGTCAATCGCTTAGGGTAGGAAGGATATTCTTCGGAGCCCTTGCGTGAGAGACCGCAGTTTTCGCGGTGCATTTCTCTGGAAGCATATCCGTTTTGATAAATGGTATGGGTAACCTCCCTGTTTATTCGTTACCTTCACGAAATGGCTCTGGTCTCGTCTGAAGAAAGGCCGTCAGTACAATTTGATTATCGGTCATCAGTCCATCTTTGATTTATTACACAATCACAGATTTTCTTTCCGATAAGATGGAGCGTCATACGCCGAGTGCGGGACGCTACAGCTGATAAGCAAGATGCGCAAAAGCAACATGCCGATTTTAGAGGCAGGCGAAACATATAATTATGTTGTGAGAATGAGGGTATTATCAATGGCGGCACAATAAGAAAACATGCAGCGGTTTGCAACGTTAACCCTTAGTTGCAACCACGCGACAATGAACTGTTCACGTTTGTAGCAAAAAATGATTTACACTCTTGATTTCTTCAGTGAATTTGAACACATCCTGTGTTCTTAGTTGGCTTGCTGAACCTATATCATGATCCCACCCTTCAAGTCGGCCAAATGCAAAACGCGCTGTGAAGGACTGAGCAGCGTCCTCACCACCCCACCAGCTAAGTTACCTATTGTTCTAAGGCACCGATTTAGTACTGAACGGCTATGGGAATGCAGTACTATGGCGTAGCTGACCGAGCGCAGAAAAAACGGATGACTGATCTCAGTATCGACATTATGCCGATACCATTTCAGATATCGTTAACTTGCTGCCATAATCGAACGAGCTTCAAAAGCCAATCGTGGATGTGTCGTTCTCTATAGCACTGCTCGATGAGCATGGGTAGCTACTTTTCAAGTGGAACGGCTCGTGATTAGTCCGTTTCAACAGGGCCGTAGCTGTATCTAATAAAGAGGAATTGATATTCTCACTCCAAAGACTCATGGGAGGTAAAGATCCACTTCAGTACGATTGACGTAGGCCATTGCCTCTTATCACATGGCTTACCCCTGATCCTACCCCCCGGGAAAAGAAACAGATTTACCCAGCGGAAGGAGCTTTCCTCGAAAAACTGTGGTCCGATCTTGTTGCATTCCCAAGGCAGTTGTCTTGGGGGAACGGGAGGTGTTGTTAGCAGCAAGAGCTTGAGGTGATGTAGTTCCACCGCGATATTCATGTTGTCCTCTGTCCTTCGCAGAATCAAGCACTAAGCAATGTTCAAGTCGAACACCTGCTTTACTGGGGCTGGCTTATGTAGCTATGAGACAATTGAGCGGACGTGTCTTCTTTACTTAGTGCTCAAATTGAGCGCCGTACCTTCCGGCTCTTTCGCCAGCAAGTAGTACCCAAGGTAGCGTTTTTATGGATGGAACGAATTTGCCCGACCTCCGCTGCCTCTAGAGCATGTGGTACTTTTAGGAAGTGGCTACATCTGGAGTTAAAGTTCGCTCTTTTTGGTTTCTATTCAAGTGAAACACCCGCACACATAGGCGCGTTAGAGCTTTCCACGGCGTGGGAGATAACATTAAACATATTAGTATCACAATCACGACGTGATCAAATCTACGCGAGTCGTTGCGGCTCATGCATTTGCAGACGAGCAATCTCAATTATCGGGGCCAGCTTATGATAGAAAAGTTTAGTGTTGCAATGAGTTAAATCGCAACACCTTCCGCCGTTGTAACTAGGTATAGAGTGCGTTATTTGTGCAAAGGAGAGGCAAAGCTCAGCAAACGCCTTTCCACTAGTGAACAGCTTTGCCTTTTGTCTTCTTCGCCTCCAGCCTCGGTCGCATGGACTGCGTCTTTTCCGAGACTCCTTGAGCCGTATGAAAATACCCTCGATGTGAGTATGCTAGTAGGTTCAGGCAGTGCGGGATTAAAGGAACGAAGGAAAACATCAAATGCTCGTTAAGTGTTCATTTTCGGCAATACCTCAGAAAGAGAATATAAGCATGATCATAATGTGGCCCACTTCTTGGTGTGGAGGGCTTTATACTATTGTAGGCGTTTACACTATATTTTTGTGCAATTGTGCACAACTCAGAGATAGCACTTATAAGTGCTGATGCCAACGATGGACTCCGTAAAGAGGTTTTTTTGAGGCAAGCAGTTTGTTAGCCTCACGTCATGCAGTGTATCCAATTTTATTATCGACAATAGTTGCACACTAAATATAGTATTAGCTCGATAAGAGATTGATTCTATATATATGACACTCTTAAAAATCAATCAATAGTAAAGAAGTATTGAGCCACTTCTTGATTCCACTCGTGGGTAGATTGTACGAGCTCAAAATTTGTGCATTATCGACGCAGACTCTCTGAGTCGAAGCGTTTTCCGCTCAAGGTGCACGGTAACATGGATACGCTCACATTACACGGAAGCCGTTGACCTTAGAACGAGCTGATAAAAATTATGTAATGGATGCCCAGCAGGGTTGCGAGTAATGGTTGTTCAAACAGTCGATGTATATAGGACACGTCACCTTGCCTTGTATTATATAAAGTTTCGCATTATAGAATTCGTAGTATTAATTCGTCATTAAGGCAAGGTTCTATTTTTTTGCAGGTGTAAATACTAGGAACTTGTGGGGCTTTCGGTCCAGCATCGTAGGGGTCGACCGGTGAATCCATCCTCTGGGCGCTGATGAACGCGGACACTGACAGTCAAGGCTTCTATTGTGCACGGTGCACGGAAAGCCGGTTGCATTTCGTTTTGCTTGTCGCTCTCCTATTAATTCAAGTTAAGTTTAGTGTATATTTTTAATATAATTTTGCGTTGTCCTACTCTTTGTGTACATCCCATGCACGCGTTCGAAAGTTGAATTTCATAATCAGCTGATTGTTGATTGATTGACAAAGTGTCTTATCCAATGTAGGTTAGAAGTTCAATTTGCGCAGCCGCCATCTTGATGCAGATTGCTGATAAGGTTGTTCTTCATTAAGTAATGCCTGAGTCGACTGTCAATGGATCGCATCAACATATTTTTTATTATGATGGAGCTTTACGTGGTTACGCCACACTGTGGAGAATAGATAATAAATCATGAAGTTGCTTGAAAGTAACACTGAGCACATGGTGAAAGACACGATCTCGCTCTTCATCGAAATTTGTTCAATCTACATCAGGTTGTCCCTTTTGTGTTGACATTTCCATGTTTCTCTTCCACCTGCATCGCGTTGACTCCCAGCCGCGCTCGAGTTCTTTTTCAAAAAGGAAGAACGTAGAAATACGACGCACTATTTGGTTAAGATTGTTATTTTTTGCGCACAGAATGATCGAAAAGCCAGCGTATTCGAGGGACTCCCCAGAATTATAACTAATCAGACACTTGAGTACTTTCTTGTAACACTTCCATCTTAATAAAATAAGTCATATTGACATTATGTCAGCAATTTCTGCTTAGATGCAGATCTCTCTCTGGCTTTTAAAAAACACTTCTCACAAAATAACTTTTCAATTTGCTTGATAAGTACTATGAGGCTTAATTAGTTATAGCTTGAGGCAATATTGATTGCCGCACCGCGTATGTGATGCTGAAAACATTGTCTGAGCTGTACGACACGAAGGCATCCGATTCGACACATATATTGAATAATGTACTGAAGTTGTGTGCCATTGCAACTTTAAGACCATGAGTGGCTAACGCCGCCCGTGCCGTCGCCAATATTGTACAAGAGACCTTTTCCGCTCTATAGATTTGTCTCAACTAGATTTTTGATGGTCGTCGGCTTCTTCACGATCATCTTGCATTCCGCAATCAATTAAATTTCATGCAATCAAAATTAGTAATTTGAAATATCTCTCGATCATATTATACTACTTGCTGCATTATAAATGTTGTTATTTGTACCTGATGATTATCATCCAGGCTTTGTAGTTAAAAAGTTGAAGTTGTAATCATTAGAACAATCACGAGAAAGCAAAGCACAATCTCTTCCAGTGATTGCGTCACCTCAAGCTATGAAGTAGCCTTGCAATAGGGCAATTTTGACAATGTACCACAAGAATAGAAGTTGTACGTCATACACTGGCTCCATATCAGAATTAGCCGTCGATGATTTAATCCAATTTTGGAAGAAATCATGATGAGGATGAGCCCATGTGTCCATGTAGGCCTCACGCAATCTTTTACCAACAACTGTAATTAATAATAAAACAATTTTATTAATTCGATCGTTAGAGAAATTCGTAATGATGAGAAACAATATTTTTATCAGCGCAAGGTTGCTACTCTATTCGAAACTAATATTTGCTACAAGCACGACATTGAATGTGATAACTCTTGGAAAATAAGGACGACATAATCAAAGAGATAAATTTCAAGGTTTGATGATATCAAAGAGCGTACAGAGCATTTATCTACTAAGCAAAAGCTGGGATCACCAATTACATGAGGGACCTAGAATCGTGGATTGTAACGTCACTTCTTGTTCTAAGGTAGCTGATTTATTTGTCATGATCAAGTTCTGCAACAGTCCATAGTTCAAATTCCACGCATTGTTTACACTCATGCCAGTATATGAAGTAACATGTACTGTATGTGCCTGTATAGTTTTAGAAAAAAGCAAATCGCATTGAAGAGCACTTCACACTTAAGACATTTTATTCCTAGCCTTCTTCGCTTATACTACCAAGCAATTGGCGCTTCAGCGCAGTTGGAGTTCACATTTGTTTTTCAGATTTTATAGATAGGATTCTAAGAGTACTGTCCAAGTAAGCTCGTCGTGACTGCCTCAGCCTGAAATACATAAAGAAATGGACTACTTGATCAATTTACCTACATCGCGGCGTCCTGACTTGCGTAAGAAGTGACAAACATATATACCTTAATTTTCCGCTGGTCTTCGATGTAACCTTGCAACTATTCAATAAATTGCACTTTGACTGTAAAAGCTGTAAGGGATGTCTTTTCACTTGTCCCAACATAACTTCGACTAAAACAGCTTGCTCACCCAAAGATCGCAATTGTTCCAACGCGGATAGATTGCGGCTAGTGCACATAGTGTTCTGCGTATAACAAACAGAATTCGCATTAATCTTTTGTCAAAATATTGAGCAAAAACTGTTGAACTAATTGCTAACTGATTAAGAAAAAATTATAGAAAAGAGCACAAATTGACTTACAAATTGTTTATCGTATCCCAAAACTGAGATTTGTGTCGGCCTATGGAGCACCTCATTTGTTTCAAAAGTTTTAAAAGCTCAGTACATGTGATATGATAAACATAGCGCACTACTGAAGTATGAGTTTTGGCGAGGCTTGGCACTATACTATATTCCTGTTGTAGTAACAAAAACCACATTAGAAACATTTCAAAGATATTTCTTTCTTGATTATATACCCGAAACATGCTGGGCGAATCTCACTGATAGTGACGGATGGCAGTCGTAAAGCGAAAATAAACGGGAAAGCCCATGCACTATTTTCGAAGAAAGTATCAGATACGAAAGGGTTTTCTGAGAGGTGGGGTGAGAGTATCCTGACCATTGAAATAAAGAGTGCACAGAGGTAGGATTTTTTTAGAATACTTACAAGCATACGAAACAGAAATCAAAAAAATGTATTGATACAAACCTGATTTAGAATCTGTCACTACAAGAGCTTTCTTGTTGACAGACGATGGGGCGAAAAGTGGGTCTACCTCAAATCTGAAGACATCTATATATACAGTGGCTACAGAAGCCACAGTAGACAATGGAAATGCACCGCACTGAGTCGGGTGCCAGTAAGTATAGATAAGTAGCAGTGACGTTATCAAAGGGAGGAATAAATGTGTAGGCTTCATTCACTGTATCACTTCGACAATACTCGCAACCACATGGACGACTCTGCGAAAAATGGAACTCCATATACAGTGCTAATATCTACGGGCCTTTGCATCTGCGTATATGCAGAATCGTATCCGTATTCTAAAAGCGTTCTCGTGATATCGCAGGTTGTTAGAGGATTGAGCTTAAAAATCTAACCATCTGACTTTTTTGTATCTTACCTAAACGCTTTATGTTTTGTTTGATGTCCGGATTAAAGTACAAAGCCGGGATTACGTAAATTTCTTAACCAGATTGCCAGTTATTAAAATATTTCCTGCTATGACTTGTGTAATATCGTTATTTTTTTCCTTTAGCTCAGAAATTTTCCAGAGTTTCTAGCAGATCACTGGACCTTTCCATGAAAAGAACCAGGTCTGGACCTCCTCTTTAAATGGATGAAAATTGTCCATATTGTGGCGACATGCCGGATAATCGACCGATTGAATGACTTTCGGACCATCGAAAGCCACCATTTAGATTACGAGTGTGATGGCCAATCTACGTATGTTCTAAATTTGTAGCGCTTTGGTAAAAGCATCACCGCTGGGCACGCCCGTCTCTCGGCTCCAATAAAGGATTTCAAAAGAATGACGGAGAACAGGATATATTACCAAAAAAATTATGATCGTGGACTGTACCAGTAAGTGAAGATGTTAGGCTTGTGCTCTTTGTTGGCATTTATGTCCAGAAAATGGTACTTATGGGCTGCGTTGTGCCCATTCGAGATCAAACGGTGACAAAAAAATCTCGGTCTCGCCTTGAAGCGACAGCGGCTATCCACAGGTACTTGTACACTGTAGCTAGTCTGGTTGTTGGCACTCATTCCATGGACTCGTCTGTATCATCCTTTGAACTTAGGAGCGCATGTTTTGTCAATGCCTCATATATCAAGTAACTCACCCCGGACCTTTTAGCGTATTGACGATTAGATACCTTGTGTGCTTCTTGGTTTTCATCTTGCCGACAAAATCATTTCAAGATTGCGCAGCGTTCTCTCACGACTTAGAACTACATCTTAGTGCAAAATTTATGGCTCCATTAGATAACGAACAGGTCGAAAATGCGTGGCTTGAGGCAGCAAGAAATGGTGATCTCGACCAAATGAAGAGTCTACGTAGACAGTATCCACAGCAGCTTGACCTCAACCGAGTATGTCAAATGATCTTATACTTTACTACTGGTGTATTAAACTAGACTTTGTTTGGCAGAATATCCAACATTTGAACAGCGCAAACAATTCTCAGCCCTCGACAGGCTTTTGCGGCTGGCACGGCTTTCACCTCAGCACCATTGGAGCTTCAGCCTTGTACACTGCAACATGGTTTGGAGACGACAAGATAATTGAATACCTCCTTGAGGAGGGTCAAGACCCGGACACTGAAGACGAGAGTGGCATGTCGGCAATCACGGTGGCAATCATGCACCATAATTTACAAGCTACACGCTGTATCTTTCGCAACCGCGTTGCTATTCAGCAAAACCTTATTACTGACGTAAGTAAACAAGATTACGATTAAATTCCAATGCAAAACAATTAATGTTTTTCTTTCTAGTGCCGACAGGAAGATGAAGACCGGACTCGACGGACTGTAGCACGCCTCGAGCTCTATTTGCGCTTTAATGCAAATATCAACAAGCGATGTCAGCGAGGCAAGAGTGCACTCCATTATGCCACAACCGACGATACGTTTGAAGTAGCGAAATTGCTTGTTTGTAATGGTGCCATTGTCGACCTTCAAGATGAGGTACGCAATCATTATTGATCAACAATCATAAAGATCATTGATTGTGTGTTCTCGTAACGAATAGGAAGGTAAGTCGCCGTTGCATCATTGCATACAAGCACCAAGTCTCATGGTTGCGAATCTGCTCCTTCAACATGGTGCAAACGTCCATCTCCCAGACATTGACGATATCACGCCCCTCCAGCGCATCCTCCGCGTCAATGATATCAATATGTTGCAGATCATTCTTAACCATCACCTTGAAGTTGTGACATTAACAGGAGAAGACTTCGCAGGAGCTGTTCTTTTGATGGCAGTAGATGAAGAGGCAGAATCCATCATATCGTTTCTGCTAAACGAAAGATACACAACACTAATACACCAAGACAACTGCGGCGAAACGCCCATGCATCGCGCGTTGCGCAACAAGAGCACAAGGATTGCGAATTTACTGCGGGCTATTGACATCCAAGGCCTGAGTGTGACGACCATGACAAAGTCGCGTGACTCGTGTCTGCATTATGGTGCTAAATATTCGACACCTGAGGAGTTAAAGTGCTTGATAAAATTTTATCAACGATTCAACGATGACGTGGGACCAATCAATCGTGTCAACGTGGCGGGTCAAACGGCTATATTTCTAATCGCCACATCGAAATCTCACTTGCTTGACGATCGTGATGCAAAGACAAGACTCATGCTAACGGCTGGTGCAAAGCTGCTAGGCAACAACCCATTCGTTCAGTCGACACAGAGACAAAACATAGTTCTGTCTACCCAAGTACATACTTGTTTGTACATATGGTTGCCGGAATGTGCTGCAACCCATTCTGATGACGTGAGTCAATTTGGTACTGACTTGCTGGCGATTGTCTATTCGTCGCCTCACTCTCAATTCACATTGAGTCACGACGTACTGGGAGTCATGTTGGCGGCAGGTTACGCTGTGGACTCAATTTTTCTTCTACTGTTGCTACCATTTGATCGAAAAACGATACTGGCCTTGTTGGATCGATTACGGCTATTTGGCACGCAATTGAATCATATGCTTCTTTTGGCTTTGTATGAAGAACTTGCTGTAGCTTCAGCAAGTTTAATTTCGTAGTCATGAGAATGAGAGTGGTGCTATTTATTGCGCGACGTACGCACACAGTGCAAATCGTTTTTTACGAATTTTGGAAGCAAAGTACGAGCAAAGTGGTTACTGCATATGATGTAGAAATGTAAATGGTAAAGTATAACTAGCCAAGCGCCACTCGTTTTGTGGGCGGTAAGTGCATGCATAATCATCATCTATGTCACTCGCTGTTCTATCTTGCTCTGTCGCTGGTGTTCTTTGCGTAAAGTATAATTGCAAATTTAAAATATACTGCTTGTGTTTGACTTTTTGACAGAGATGTAAAAGCCGTTGTCTGCACTGTATTTTGATAAAAAAATATAATTATGTTGAAGTCAACTGAATGCAACACGTGCGCTATTTCTTGTAGCTATCAACACAATGACGTTTCTTTGATTAACGATGTCTACACGTACAAAGTAAAATGAAAGCAGAATAGAACTTGCCGTTAGTGATTACTAAGGACTGAATATACTGAAGACATAATGGAGACTCCTCACACTTTACAGTAAAAGTCAGGCACTAATTTATGAGCTATTAATGTTTTTCAAATCTGAGGTGTAAATTTGGTTAGATACTTTTGAGTAAAAGACAAAGTCAATGGCAGATGACTTGACTTGGGTAATAGCGACCTTATAAATGAATGTGCCTGTGGCAGAAGTACCCACTAGGTAGGAGAAGGCGCAGCTGATCTGCTTGAAGGTGCGACTTGCTGTTTTGATAGTCCTATGATGAGCCTGTGATAGGAGCAGCCTACTGAGTGGGATGACGCAGAAGTGACCTTGATAAGGGACCTATTTGATTTCCAAGGATGTCTTGTGACCTCGGAATATACTAGTGAGGAATAAGCTGATCTTTCTACCGTTAGGAATGTAATTGCATTGAATTCCCTTTGGACCGTCGTGAATAGTAAGCTAGAGCTTAAGTGCTGAACAAAGTTGTGTTCCGAGCATATAACGGAAGGTTACTGCTATTGAAACAGAGATTGAAGAAAGAACATAGCTGTAGGAGCATTGAGAACTGAAGCCTGACTTGATGTTAAACGTCGGTGGTATTGTCGTAAGGTAGACTGGAGAGTGTCTGCGTCAGCTTCTTCGAGCTTTACTCCGATGTCTCTAAGTCAGGCCGAAATTATTTGGCGCAATACTTCCTATGAGCGACTTTGCAACGGCTAGATCTCGCCATATTGTTGCAGTAATTCCAAAGGAGGATATCAAGAACTTTCACTCTGTTGCCGCGGGGTCCGAAGAAGCGTTGGGCTCAGTAGTGATACCTTCGAATTGGTATAATTGAGTCATGATAACCTGAAATTGTGTCTATATGAGTCGTATTTAAAAACTGCGTAAAGGTTACTCACAAAAAACGCATCTCTGCTATTTCAAGAACTACGGCTACTCAGATAATACGAAATACACAAACTTTACTATGTCCCTAAATAAAAACGTCGTCTTTGTCCGATATGCGACTAGCAGCCAGAGGTACCACGGTCCTTTTCATTTTGATGTTTTAGCACCTGTCGTTATGAATACTCACAATTACACCATAGTCCAATATTTTTTCTTTAATTGGTTAGATCTGTATTGGATACAGTTGCATCAGATGTGAAAGGTGTAAGTACACAACATCAAGTGCTTAGCACGTACGCTATACCCCACTAATATGTGGATCAATAGGGGTTTCAAACTTTTACTCGTACAATCATTGCGCAAAAGTGACTGTTCCACAAGCAAGGAATGCACCTGGAGTTATTCTAACACCTGCTAATCAGAGCATACTTGCACCGGGTCCACTCTCCCCGTGCGCCAAAGCACCGTCGACGACGAATAACTCCCATTGATCCAAGCCGCTCCTAGAGAGTGTTTGGACCTTCGAGGGCAAGGATGGAGAGAATTTCCTGCTCTGGGTGAGAGAGGTCGAGACTGCCATGGCGTCCATCATGCTCCAGAACGAGCAATAGCGCGTGGCGCTAGCTATCTCCAAGCTTGGTGGTAGAGCGCGATAATGGGCACTGGCGTGTGACACTTCGGTCGAAACGGCGTGACCCTCCGAGATGGAGCTGAAGCTGCTACCTTCACTAAGAGGTCTTGCCGCCTAACCAGGCATATCGCGTGCAATCGCGTTTCCTTGCCATCCGACAGGACTAAAAGAAATTGGCGGACTTCGACCAATCGTTGCGTACCCTCAATGCCGATACGGCAGCCGAGTTTCTCCCTGAAGCGAACATCTTTATGAAAGGCTTCTGCACTGGTATGGCCAGATTAAAGTATTTCGTGTACACCCGTTTTCTTTTGAAGAAACAGTAAAGGTGGCAATGGATGATGAATTCAGCTTTAAGGAGGCACGACTTGGTTGGAATGCTCATTCTAGCAGCTCGTCGGAGCCAACGGATCTCAGCTATGCTAAGAACGAGGAGGCAGAGCTCTGAACTGCCGAGCAGCGTTTATACACCGGAAGGTGTTTTGTCTGTTTAGACACCCGTCACCTTCAAATTATTTGTCCCTTGCGCTAGGCGTGTCAAAGTATTTCAAAATAACGGCCCGCTACTTACCAATCTGCTGTTTTGTCGCGGGGAAACATACCCAGTAAGCCGCATTGCGCCTTCTAGGGAAAAACAAAGTTCTGTTGAGCCTAAAGGAAGTAATGGTCAGCAGGGCATAGCTTCAAAGAGCTCCGTGCTCTTGAACACGGAACGTTTGTGCGAGCCGGGCTTCCTCGACGTGGAAGCGACCGTGAAGGGCTTTGAGAAGCCATAGAAGATCCTGATCGACTCCGGGGAGTTGAGCAATTAGATTCGACACTCCCAGATGGAAGGAAGATATTTCTATGCTGAGGCGCTGAAAATGCGGTTAAGTGACATTGTCACTGTTTGCTTAGCGTCGGGGACACGTGTCATGTTGCCGAAGGTCCCTGTGGACCTCGGTGTCAAGTTTCTTGACATTGATAGCTTGAAATGATGCATAGCCTTAGACTTGGATTCAATATACGACCTCATCCTATGTACGGCATGGTTGGAACACCATGAACAGTCGATTGACTGGAGGTCGAAGATCTTGGCGCAACACTCACGTCTCCTGGTGGAGCTTTGGAGAGTCCTGAACCCAGCTCTGCTTTGAGACAAAAGCGCTATTGGCGCGGGCACTGGACCGAGACAGTCAACGTGCTGAAGATCGGAGTATCCAAGTTGGTGATCGGCAAAGGTGTATCGGAAATGTGTTCCGAGAATGACTTAAGGGCTGAACGTGGAGTGGCACATAACCCACTCAGCGCTGCTCAAGTATTGGGGCAGTCGCTGCATACCATGCTCAGCATGGTCAGCCAAGGGCCGAGGAATCGAGGGCGAGGACCCAGTGATGCACTTTAAGTGGCACGTAATCTACTGAGCGCTGCTCGCGTTTCAAAGTAGTCGCTGCATGCGCTGAATGGCATGGTCGGACGAGATCCGAGGCATCTTGTGCAAGGCTTGGTAAATGCGCGTGGAGTGGCAAGTTATCCTCTGGACGGAGTCTGCGGGAATTGCAGCTCTTTGTTGAATGTTGTTAATAACATCAGAGCTTCGGTGGAGCAGGAAGTGGGGCTGACACGAGACGACGCTGAGTGCGTGTTAACACTCTCGTCGAGACGTACAACCTCCGTGGAGAGGCAAGGGCGATGCCGTGTTTTATCTGCAAGACTCCGGGCGTCGACCCTGACCTAGAATATGTCTACCGTCGACGATAGCGCACAGCTATACACCATAATCAACGGGAAAATGACAGCGATATCACCCTCGAGGTTATTCCTGCAGTCAGTGCTCTTCTTGAGTTGGACGGGATGTCCTTCGATGAGTTCGGCGATGTCTTGAAAGCAGGCGACTTAGTCGAAGTCGTCATTATACGACCGGAAGAGGAGATCGAATCGCCGTCACTTCCAGGTAAAGCTGTCCTGAGGGAGACCATGAGGATGAAGAATAAACAAAGTTGATTTTTGATCCTGAAGGATCCCTCGGGTCCGTACTTTCCTTTGGTAAAGGAATTAGAGGACTTCGTCTCCGAATATTCGCTGTCGGTCCTACGGTCGGAGGTGTGCGTCATGAGGCACGCTAATGGCTCTGATCAAGGAGCAGTGTGACGTCATTGACACCTTTCTTTCGTGCGAAGCACGACACAGGAATGGTGCGCGGGAGCAAGTCTACCAGTTCAGCACCCACGTTTTGCGTCGGAAGCCAAACAGCAATTAGCGTATTGTTCACGCTTACAATAAGCTCAACGTTGCCATCATTCCGGTACAGACGCCAATTCGTAGAAATTAAAATCTCCAGAGCAATATGGTTGGCTGTACAAAGTTCAGTGCACTCGACTTGGTCGATGGTCGATGGATATTTCCAATTGCTCATGTGAGTGAAAGATGTTCCGCTATCCGAACGGCATGCTCTGGGAGTGGCTGGTGATGTTTCAAAGGCTATCAAATGCACCAGCAACATTTAATCGTGTTATGACGCAGTTGTTCAGGCCCCATCGGGCGTATGCACAGACATACTTCGAAGGCAACTTCGTCCACAGTCGTGCGGAGCACGGGTAAAGAGAACTTCATCGTTCATTTAAGAGCGGGGTTGGAGAGCATGCGCACACAAAAGCTCTGTGCTAATGCAGACAAGTGCAATTTCGCTGCCGAATGAGAAATCGTGGCCTTGACAATACCCAGAGGGTATTGTCAAACTGACGATCGGCGCCGCCACATTCGGAGAGGTTTTCACCCTCTATCATGTCTCTCACGTGCGCAACACATGTGCTCATCCATTTGTACAGCTTGGGCTAGCAATAATGGCAACCCACCGAGCTGCAAGTCTTTTCACGATCGAGATGACCACTAAGTGAGGTGTCTCATAGAGGAAACGGTATATCAAACCTCGTCGTGAGGATCCACCAATCGTGGCGTATCCGTTGAATCGGTGCTATAACACAGCAGCTTGTATCTCAACTAATATCGGTGGCAGCGTGCGTGCTAACGCG